AGTACCAAGAAAGGTAGTTTATAAATCTCAAAATAAACTAAAGATGTAAAGTTCGCAATCAAACAATCCCAACACCGATGTTACATATCAGAGCAAGATTGCCTTTATTCTACGGAAAATGAATAAACACTCTCTGAAGCTATCCTCTAAGCTTCCTGCACTAATCTTGATCACATGCAAGTTACCCACATATAGAGGCATCATTTCTAAGCAGAAAAGGTGAGTAAATCACAATCATTATAAAAATACATAAGGAATAAACATAGTACATATGCACTTAGGCAAGACATCACACATCATCAGAACCTCATGTTTATACTCACACACAACTTCATCAATACACAACAACATAATCATTACACGCCATTTATCATTAAGTATCATCAAATTATTATGCAATGTCACATAAAATATAATGCAATATCATATCTCATGCATGTGGTACCAAAACTTCATTGATGACTCAGTCATCGTTTTCTCCAAAGATGCCCACCAATAGGATTGATTCCCACTTGGAACCAGAGTACTTCATAATATTATACTCAATCCACACTATGATATTGATGCCTTCACTGAACTATCGTCCTATCATCATCACTGGTCCGAGGTCCTAATAACATCACTGGACCGAAGTCCTAAACTATGTCATGAATGCATGATGCACACCAATATAATAAATACGACCACGACTAGTCAAAACGCACCACCATTCATGAATTCATCACAACAACATCATATCATCATAATAAATAAAGCATCATGATATCATTATAATACACAAAGCTTCATCATATCATCATAATACACAAAGAATCATCATGAAAATAAAGCATCATCATAACATCATCGTAAACAAAGGTATCATCATAATCCAACACGGAGAATACTAACTTTATCCTAACTTAGGTATTGTGAATATTCTTCTTATTTCTCATTTTATTCCATTAAACTATATTTTACTGTGTTAGCTATCCAACGCTTCGAACGACACCTCAAACCAAATTTTAAAACTCAAGTTATGGCATTTTTAAGAAAATCCAAAACAGTCATTCAATTCTAGACACCTTCGCCCGATGATACTACTTCCATCGCCTGGCGAAGCCTCCATAGCCTCTTGCATCACCTGGCGATGCTTGGAGCGACGCACTCCAGTAGCGTCACATTTCTTTCCCTTCCTTTCGGTCTGTTTCTCGTCTGGCGACTCCCAAGCAATGTCATCAACGCCCAACGATGCATCCTCATTGTCCGACGACGCTGCATGAACAGAGTTTTCATGTTGCAATTTCCTGCATAAACCAGTTCTAATTTCTTGTGATTTCACCATATTACAAGTCTCCAAACATTAATATTTCTCATGGTTTCATCATATAACCACATCCCAAAATACCATACTTCATATGCATCAATTCTTTGCAATTAAACGTCACAATTTCATCAATTCATCATCAAACACCACATAATCATCATCAACCACAACCTAACACAATTCTACAATCATCTAAATCTTAGATCAATTATAATAACAATGATAAACATCCCTTACCTTAGATTATAACATCAAACTTAATTCCTCTTGGTGTTCTATCACAAAAATCCTCCTGCCTCTCTGTGCCCTGGCTTTGCCTCTTCACAACGTTCTTCTAAATGTTACGATTACACAGAACGAGCATTCTAACTCTAAAACCTTCCTTATACCAAACTTTCCCCTCATACCCCTAATATGATCTTTCACTATTGTTCTCACTTATTCTTCTCAAATGACTAATTTTCCCTTATCGTCTCTTAATACTAATGTTACTCTAACTTACTAATTAAAATAATTCTAACTAATTATTCTAACTTACCAAAAATCCTCTTATTCATCTTAATTCCCACTACACCACACATAAACATCACATAACCATCATAATCATCAAAACATCATAGCTACGTCACAAATACATCACAAATTCATCACAAATATGCATCATAACTAATTAAGAAATTAAATAAACAACTTAATTAATTTGGGGTGTTACAACTCTCCCCCACTTAAAAGAATTTTCGTCCTCAAAAATTACCTCACGAGAACAAGATCAGATAAGACTCTTTCATCTGATCCCCGCGTTCCCAAGTCCAACTTTCACCAGCCGGTCCACCTCATAATACCTTCACTAAGGCGATATCCCTACCCCGTAGTTGTTTCACTTCCCTACCTTCTATTCACATGGGTGATGCTTCCACAGTCAGGTTATCTCTCACATGTACTTTATCCATCTGAATTACATGTGAAGGATCCAAAATTTACTTTCTTAATTGGGACACATGAAACACATCATGAAGATTCCTAAGGGATGACGACAAAGTAATCTAATACGCCGCCTCACTTATCTTCTCTGATATCTAATATGAGCCAACAAAACGCGGCATAAGCTTTCTTGACTTCAAAGCGCTACCAACACCGGTTACCAGAGTAACTCTCAAAAAAATATGGTCATCTTTTTGGAATTCGATTGTATTCCTACTCTTGTCATGATAACTCTTTTGGAGACTCTCAGAAGCTTTCATCCTCTCTTGAATCATCGTAATATTTTTAGTTATCTTCTATACGATCTCAGGTCTAAGCACAACTCTCTCGCCTGACTCATACCAACACAATGGAGTTCTACACCTCCTACCATACAACGCGTCATATGGTGCCATACCAATAATCGTATGAAAACTATTATTGTATGTAAACTCAACTAACGACAAGTGACTATCCCAAGACACCCCTTGTTCTACCATACAAGCCCTCAGCAAATCCTTCAAAGACTGAATAGTCCTCTCTGTCTGACCGTCCGTCTGCGGATGATATGTAGAACTCAACCTCAACTTAGTACCAAAAGCATTTTGCAAACCTTCCCAGAATTTTAACGTAAACCTTGAATCTATATTTGACATAATACTTGAAGGTATTCCATGTAGCTTCACAATCTCATCGATATACATTTCAACAAGCTTCTCCATAGGATGATTGATCTTCATCGGTAAGAAATGAGTTGACTTAGTCAACCTATCCACAATCACCCAAATTGAGTCATTGCCCTTAGCAGTCTTTGGCAGACCCGACACGAAATCCATAAAGACATTATTCTATTTCCACTCTGGAATACTCATAGGTTGCATAAGAACCATAGGCTTTTGATGCTCAATATTTGACTTATGACAAGTCAAGCAAGCATAAACAAATTTGGCAACTTCCTTTTTCATACCAGGCCACCAAAACAATTTCTTCAAGTCTTGATACATCTTAGTAGCACCCGAATGAATACTTAAGTAACTTTGATATCCTTCCTAAAGAATA